CAGAGAGGAACACGTGCAAGACCTTTCCCTACTCCACTGGGGACCAAACAATGTCCTTTTGCAAGAAGCCAGACCTGAGGACAAATCAAGACTAATGTCTTCCCCTACAAGAGAAGCTTTCAGCCTCGCTCCCATCTCACCCAACGAGCAAGGGAGATACTGTTAGAGAAGCCTGGCATTTCTCCTCACCTGGCAGAAGTCTCTGTAATTTATTAACCTGCCTCAAGAGGCAGCCTAGGTGAGCAGCACTGGCCTCATGTGCAAAGCCTTTCCTCTGAGCCATGGCCTGCCATTTGTTACAGATGGAGCACCAAGGCTTACAGAGGGACAATTTGTCAAGGGCTTCCCCAGTGATGGAGGTGTGGTACAAACCACATTCCATGGTCTGTGACCCTAACTGTTGTCCACCCAGCAGCTACTTCTGCACCATAAGGAACTCAAGTCTCAAGGAGCATGGCAGGGAAGAGGACTAAAGAGAACACAGTTACAGATATGATGTTAGACCAGGGAAAAAACAACCCTTTGGGACACATGAGGCTATGAAGCAAAGAAAAAATGGGAATAATCACCATAGAGGAAAGAGGAGCGCTGTTTATAAATTTGTTGAGCATTTGTTTGGAGAGAGCCCAGCCTGAATTCAAGGCCTTGTGTTAATATTTACTAAAGAGCAGTACTCCGGGTTTAGACTGGGTGGCCTTTGGATAAGAGCCTTCCAGAAGAAAACAGTGTGCTGGGGACAGAACCAGCACTCGGTTTAGACTGGGTAGGCCTTTGGATAAGAGCTTCCAGAAGAAACAGTGTGCTGGGGACAGAAACCAGGCACTCCGGTTTAGACTGGGTAGGCCTTTGGATAAGAGCCTTCCAGAAGAAAACAGTGTGCTGGGGACAGAACTTCTGGCAAGCCAGACAGAGATTCCATATCTGCAGGTCCTCTGTGAAGGCCACACAACTGGGTCCTTAGAGACGGTCTTCAACCACGTAACCTTTGGCCACTGTCTAGCCTGCTGCTGCCTGAGACACTTGGTGTCTTGTCACTTCCACTCTTAACAATTCTGCATGTCCACTTTAATGTTCCTGTGACCTGATGTGCTTTGTACACATCTCAAGCAGAGTGGCTGAATCAACAATGTCTATTTTGTCACACATCAGCTTTGGGCAGGCTCAGTGGACAGTTGTCTCCATCTACTCAGACGCTCCCTACAAGAGAAGCTTTCATGCCTCGCTCCCATCTCACCCCACACGAGCAAGGGAGATACTGTTAGAGAAGCCTGGCATTTCTCCTCACCTGGCAGAAGTCTCTGTATTTATTAACCTGCCTAAGAGGCAGCCTAGGTGAGCAGCACTGGCCTCATGTGCAAAGCCTTTCCTCTGAGCCATGGCCTGCCACTTGTTACAGATGGAGCACCAAGGCTTACAGAGGGGACAATTTGTCCAAGGGCTTCCCCAGTGATGGAGGTGTGGTACAAACCACATTCCATGGTCTGTGACCCTAACTGTTGTCCACCCAGCCAGCTACTTCTGCACCATAAGGAACCTCAAGTCTCAAGGAGACCATGGCAGGGAAAGAGGACTGATGTTAGACCAGGGAAAAAAACAACCCTTTGGACACATGAGGCTATGAAGCAAAGAAAATGGGGAATAATCACCATAAGAGGAAATGAGGAGACGCTGTTTATAAATAAATTGTTGAGCATTTGTGTTGGAGAGAGCCCAGCGCCTGAATTCAAGGCCCTTGTGTTAATATTTACTAAAGAGCAGTACTCCGGGTTTAGACTGGGTAGGCCTTTGGATAAGAGCCTTCCAGAAGAAAACAGTGTGCTGGGGACAGAACTTCTGGCAAGCCCAAGACAGAGATTCCATATCTGCAGGTCCCTCTGTGAAGGCCACACAACTGGGTCCTTAGAGACGGTTCTTCAACCACGTAACCTTTGGCCACTGTCCTGAGCCTGCTGCTGCCTGAGACACTTGGTGTCTTGTCACTTCCACTCCTTAACAATTCTGCATGTCCACATTTAATGTTCCTGTGACCTGATGTGCTTTGTACACCATCTCAAGCAGAGTGGCTGAAATCAACAATGTCTATTTTGCTCACACATCAGCAATTTGGGCAGGGCTCAGTGGGGACAGCTTGTCTCCATCTACTCAGACGCTCTTGAGCAGCTTGCAGGCAGGGAGGCTGGCATGGTGAGGAAACACATATTTGACCTGGATCTGGGAAGATGCACACAGCTGGGCTAGAAGGGCAGGACCTCCTCCAGACTCTCCCACTGTCTCCACATGGTTCCTGCACACGATTGCACTGGCACAGAAGCTTCAGGATACTATGACTACTTTCCTGTCTGCCCATGGCTCCCAGGGGTGCAGACTGAGTGAAGAGCCCAGGCAAAGCTGACAGGTGGTCCTGGATGTACAACAGCTCCACTTAAGACTTTTTGACTTTACAATGGGGTGAAAAGGATACACATTGAGTAGAAACTGAAAGGTACAGTTTGAGTTTGAACTTTGATCAGAAGATCAAAGTTCTCCTTCTCAAAGCTGGGAAGGAGGTCCCAGTCAGCCCATGACACAAGGCAGGACAACTGAAACTACAGCCAGCACAACACTGCTTGATGGGCTCGGTGTGGCTGATGTGTTTTCAACTTACATTTTCAACTTTTGCTGGGTGGATAAGGAAGTCACCCCACTGTGAGTCAAGGAACATCTCACTTTTCCTTATGACTACCTGGGATGTAACATAGCATCACTTTGGCCACTTTCTGCAGTAGAGAACCGGGTCACTAAGCTGGGACAATACTTGGGGAAAAGGAATTAAACTACATGTTCATTGGAAGAGTGTGCAAGGATGTGCCACCAGGCCTTGAACAAACTGCGAACTCCATAGACCCTGCAGGGCCTTAGCTTCGGGGACAGAGGCATCTAGTGTGTTGTTCATCTTTCTCAAAACTGAGGTTTACCAACTGCAAAGGCTCCAAGCATGGAATATCCAAATCTTCATTTTAACTAAGAATCTTGCACCACATGAACAACAGGAACGGGACAGGAAACTTCGCTCGCACAGGGAGACGCTTCTCACTGATTGACATCTGGAAGGTCTGTCCCCAGGGGACACAGTCTGAAGACAAGGTTCTCTGGCAAAAGTTGGAAACAGTCTCTCGGGCAAGCTCAGGTTTTACACACTTGGGAGCACGAACAAGAACCAATTGAGAGGCTAAGGATGCATTGCTCTGTTTTCTGCCTTTTACCCTCGTCCACAGAAACTCCCCTGTCCACACAACCTCCTTAACAAAGGAAGAAAGGCCTGAGAATGGCCACATCGGACTTTCTCAAAATAGAGTTCAAACATTCCATGAATTCAAATTGGCCTCTGTGGTGACAGAGCCAAGTGGGTGACAGACATTTTGCTGAGCTAACACATATGGTCATCTTTTAGTCTCCAGGGCAGAGGTTGTCAAAGTGTAGTCCCTGACTACACTGTGTCCCCTGGGACAGCTCCCCCTGGGAAGAGGAGTGAGGATGGGTTTCCAGCCCTCTGAGTAGCTCAGGCCTGAGAACCATGGTCTCAGAGGAGGTAGGGCCAGACAGGGGCTGAGCAGATGCTCCAAGCTGGGAACTGAGGGTCGCTGTGTCTGCAGCAGTGGCAGATGGACAGACAGACAGATGTGTGCCACCTGATTCTCCAGCCATCCATAAATGGGGAGAGCTAGTGCATAGAGGAACTACTCCTGGGTCTCCATATGCTTGTGGATCGTGCGAGGGAGTGTCAGGTCATCCAGACCTGCCTTCATCACAGCTTCTTCATCTTGGGAAAGTAATCTAACCCTTCTATGCCTAAGGTGTCTAGCTGGAGGGAGGACACAGGTAGACATAGCAGGTGACTCAGTCAGTCATCACTGTGCCCTTCAAAAGTCCAGTGAGCCTATGGTCACATTTAACCCCTGCCACAAGTCTATGCTATTGCTATTGTCAACATCACTATTTGACAAGTAAAAATACCAAGCACAGAAGGGTTAACTTGCCCCGGGTGTCACACAGCCATGGATGCAGGCAGCCTGTCTCAAGAGCTCCTCCGCCCACCTCAGTACCAAAGGACTGTGGTGAGGACTAAGTCTGTGAACAGAAGGACAGGGCCAGAAGCAGAGGACACAGGTGGGCTGGGTATTCTGACCCAGCAGTGCTGACAGGCCCAGGCAACCAGGAAAAGGGCTCAGAAAATAGCTCAGAGGCAAGAAGAGAAAACCTGTTTCTGAGATGTTATCAGGCCTCACTACCCAACACATTCTCCCAAAATGACCATGGTATCATTTAAAAGGCAGCAATGGGGCCAGGAACCAGAGATGCTAAGGAAAACCATGAGAGACCGCCCTCAGGGAGGGGCCTGACAAAGCACTGCCAGACAGATGGGGAGGCTGACCCCAAGCTCCCTCCCTTCTTCCATGCTGCCGCCATCTCTCCCTTTAGCTCAAATCAGAACATCACATTCCTCACCTCAAGAACACACAATGGCTCCCCATTGCCTCCAGAGTGAAGTTCCAATCCATAACATGGGTTCAAATCCATCCATGGTCACTCTGTCTTTATGATTTCATACCTGCTACTCCCTTCTGTATGTCACCAGAGTGACTGCTGATGTTCCCCAGACAAATCCAGGTGTGTTTCTATCCCTCTGCCTTCCCTGACTTCCATGCTAAATAAAACCCAGGAATTTGGAGTCAGAGCTCCACTGACTAGATATAGTTTGGGAGAGTGACAGTAACGTCTCTTCTGCATGGGAGGAAAAGGACTGGAAATTTCATCCCATGAAATGTAGAAACCAGCCAACCAGAAAACTCACTTTGTCCTCAACAGCCCTTGCCAAGCAGTGTACAGTACTGAGCAACAGAGAGGTGTGTGACCTTGCCCAAAGTCACACAGGAAGAAGAGAGGCTGGGGCTGGGACTGGAACCCAGGTCTCCACACCCACCTGACTCCCTCACCTGCTGTGTTCTGCCCCACCTTCCTAGGTCTGTGAGCTCTGCAAGGGAGTGGTCCCAGCCGACAGCCCTGTGGTCTACTCGGACCGGGCCGGGTACAGCAAGCAGTGGCACCCCGCCTGCTTCGTGTGTGCCAAGTGCTCCGAGCCCCTGGTGGACCTCATCTACTTCTGGAAAGATGGCGCACCCTGGTGTGGCCGCCACTACTGTGAGAGCCTGCGACCCCGGTGCTCGGGCTGTGATGAGGTGAGAGCAGGGGGGCTCCGGGGTCCGAGGCCAAAACACATGGCTTTGAGGACAGTGCTCCTTGAACTGGCACACTGAGGCCCTCAGCCTCCATTTTCTCATCTGCAAAATGGGGCTGTCGGGGTGGGTTGGACACAGCACACTGGCCAGTCTCCCCCTGGCTCTATGCCAGGCACCTGGGTGCAGCAGGAGGCAGGCTGAGCTGCATCCTTGGGTCCCATGTCACCAGTGCCTCAGTGCTACCACTAGGGTAGACAGGAACCCAGCCCCGAGAGGCCATGACAGGGAGGTGGCACAGGGAAAGGCCTGACCTAGGAAGAGACTCACGGCAGCACCGTCAGTCATCACGATGTTGTGTAGAATCCAACAAAATAGTATAACCTCAACGTGTGTGAAAGGGTTCGTGTCTCCCACAGGGGTGGGGCTGTCCACTTCATACTCACACTATTTATGAAGTAAATAATCACAGCACTTAATCACGATGACAGTAGGGACTGTTTGCTGCCTTTGGAGGGAGAAAATCCACCCCCTTCATCTTCAGCACCTGAGGGATAGAGACATCTTCTTCATACTGAGCCCGGACCTACCTGTCCCTGCCTTCCACACGCTGGTCTCCATGTGACGTACGACCTTGCAATCCTCTTCCCTCACAGCCTGTTATCAAGTGACATTAGGAAGGGAAAGAGCTGGGGGTGGTGGTGCATGCCTGTAATTCCAGCACTCAGGAGACTGAGGCAGGAAAGTCATGAGTTCAAGGCCAGTCTGGGCTGCATAGTGAGACCCTGTCTCAAAAACTCCAAGGTGGGGGAAAAAATAATGGAAAGGACCTTGAGAGGCCTGCCCTACCCATTATTGAGGGGACACAGTATATCACAGTCACAGTTCCCCATCACTTACGAAGGCTCATGGTGGGTCAGTAAGGGTACACCATTGACATCTCACAAGAATCCTTTTGGGCAGATGTCCATTTTACAGTGGACACAGGACAGTGCAGAAATGGTGATGGTTGTCACAGGGCAGCCACTCTGGGTCAGTTACCATCACAAACATTTCATTGTGCCATCACCAGTTATGCACTCATAAAACCTGGTGGATGGAAAGCCTCTGCTCTCCATTTCCCAGATGTGGAAGCTGAGGCACAGGAAGCTGGTGTGATTTATTTGCCCAAAGTCAGGAGGCTGACAGACATCTAAGGGAAAACCCACACGCAGTCCTGTCTAGCTCCCCAGTCAGAAGGTCAATAAGCCAGCCTTTCCTGAGCATCGGGATTAGATGGCACAGTGTCACTTTACTCCGAGCCCCAGGGACTCTCCAAGTACTTCTCTTGATGACTGACCACTGACAGTTGCTTTGTCATTACCTGGCACACTGGGGTCACACTGGATGTGGGATCCTGTCTCAGGACACCATCGGCCTCTTGATTTACCCCCAAAACCTCACAGACGCTCCATCACTAAAGCCTGCCTCCAGTGGAGAAGCCAAGAGGACCGTGACCTCTGCACTGCCACACTGACAGCCTCAGACTCTGTCGGCTGCCGCACTGGGCACTGAAAAGTCAGAGCGGGCATGAGGTGGGATACACCACCATCCCATAGCTTATCCCACACACTCTCACCCAGGGCCACAGCCTCAGCTGTGTCTTCTGTCCCCTTTCCAGATCATATTCTCGGAGGACTACCAGCGCGTGGAGGACCTGGCCTGGCACCGGAAGCACTTCGTGTGTGAGGGCTGCGAGCAACTGCTGAGTGGCCGGGCCTACATTGTCACCAAGGGCCAGCTCCTGTGCCCAACTTGCAGCAAGTCCAGACGCTCCTGAAGTGCTGCCCACCCCCAGCCAGGGTTCCCTGGACCGCACCAGGACACCGAGGCCATCCTGAGGCTGAGGCAACAGCCAGCAGGCAACAGAAACAAGAGTTTCCTCCCAGCGGGAATGTGTGCATCCATCCTAAGTGGAGTGGTGGTGGATCCTGGAGGGTCAGTGGTTTAATACCAAGAAATATTCTGAGAAGTTGTAGGATGGAGTTATTTGTGGTGGCTTCCCTGCTACAACCAACTAAAGACACCACTGGCATCCTACAAGGGAGCCAGAAGGAATGTCCCATGATGCAATTCTGAGGGAGCCAATCCCGTAGCTATAGGATGGTGGACACGGGAGCCCCTCCAGGGCAGGCTGGGATCTTGACTCTCACTTGTTGCCTCTTTTTCCAGTGGAATTTGAATTTTAAATAAACAACTTTTTGGCATGATAAATGCATCAATAAAAGTTTCATGAAATCCACACACAACTTTATCATATCATTTACACTATGACAGCTGATTTTGAACCTTGTAACCCTGGAGTCTGGTGCTGGCAGGAAGTGCTGTCTCCTCAGACTTCCATGGGATATAGCTTCTTGGGGTAGAAAGCCCCCTTCTCCCCCCACCCCCACAATGCTCCCAGGTCACTGACAGAAACGCGTGTCCTCGCCTCACCGTGTCCCACAAGTGGCTTCTGGGAGCTGAGGATCTTTTGAGTCACAGATCTGACTCAGCTGCCCTCCGGGTCTAGGCTGGGAATGAGACCAGGTAGAGTGTGGGGGAACTGCCAAGGCCACCAGAGCTCAACCAAGGAGTGCCACATGGGACAGGGCGACCAGTGTGCACAGACCATTATGAATACAGCATTTTTTTTGAGAAACTTCTCAATTTTTAAATGTTGCCAGCTGAACACTGAGTGAGCCAAGTAAGCCTTTTGGCCACATTTTATCTCCCTTTTATGGTCTCTCTGAGAATTTTCAGCCCTCAAATTAACCTCTCTGAGAAAAAACATCTTTTTCTACTGGGCTGCAAAACGCACAGGGTTAGGCGTGCAGTCTGGGCACCAGCAGTCTTCTCTCTCAAGCTTCCCCATCTGTCACCAACTTTCTTTCACTCATTCTGCCATCCGAAGTTTGCTCCCTGTGACTCTTACCCCCAATGCCCCACCCATGTGCTTTCCACGCATGAGAGAAGCTGCTGTGAGTCCCAGCTCCTCTCTCCAGGGTCCCTCAGTTTCCCTGTCATTCCCTCTTCTCAAAGGCGAGTTTCGAGCGTGGCCTTGCCCTCACCCAACATCTCTGCCTCCCTGGTACCTGTCAAGTTAAGAACCAAGTCTTCACTCTGACATGTGAATGGCTCCAAAACATGACTTATTTGTCTTTTTGTCCCTAGAACTCTATTTCCCCCAGATTTCTAGGTTCCTTTTTGTCCTAGACAAGCAGAGGCTCCTCTACCTGCTACCCCAAGCTTCCGTTTGTGCTGGGCTGCTTATCTGAAGCTCACCTCCATCTGTTGAGATCCTGCACACCCTATAAAATGCTTCTGAGGCCCTTCCCTGAATGAAGCAGCAGTGAGATAGTCACTCATCTATACATGTGTCTGTCCATCTGTCCATCCATATACCCATCCATCCTTCTACCCATATATCCATCATCCCATCTACCCACCCATCCATCCATCCATCTATCCATTCATTTGTCCACCTGTCCATCAGTCTACCCATTTACCCATTCATGTACTCATCTGGCCACCTGTCCATCCATCCACCATCCCTCCATCCGTCCACCTGTCCATCAGTCCATTCACCAACCCATTTATCTACCTATCATCCACCTGTACATCCATCCATCTATGCATCCATCCACCTGTCCATCCATGCACCCATTTACCCACCCATCCATCCACCCATCCATCCACTCATCCATCCACCCACCCAACCCACAAATATTCACTGAGAACTTTAGGGTTCAATATCCATCCTGAATGCAGGGGACACAGCATGCCCAAGAGAACAATGACCACTGACCCCACGGGAGAGATGGACATCGGGAAAATACTCCCACAAGTCAACGTGACATTATGGCTATGGATGCTCTAAAAGGGAGGTTAGTGACACTATAGAGCATAGAAGAGAGAGTGGACCTAGTCAGGAATGCCAAGAGAGGTGCCCCAGGAAACCACTCTTAAAGTCGCTTTGAAGAATGAGTAGACTGAGCCAGCAAAGAGGGAAAGAACATGGCTAAAGATGCACACAGGAACCACATGTGCAAAGGCCCTGTGGTAGGAGTTGTGCCAGTTGATTCAACAACTCCTTTCTAGTGTTGGAAATGAGAGATAAAAGTGACCCATGGACAGGCAGGATTGAAGGCGGGTCTGTGCGTCAGGAGCTCAGAAAAGGGCGAGGAGAGCATGCAGAACCAGCCGGCTCCAGCAATTTGAGTGACAGAAAAGATAGGTCTCTGTCCTGAGAGCCATGGGAAGCTTTCCAACAGAGCTAAGCAGGGGTTGGTGACAGTTGAACAGGGAGATGACTGAATCCATGGCCTGTCCTCTGTTGAAACCCCAGCGTGACCCCTGATTGCCTTTCTCTGCTAGTAGCCACCCACAACTGATCCACTGACCACCACGAGAGCCTGCTCTGCCTCCCTCTGTCTACCAGTGACCTATGGAGCACCTGAGTTCTCTCCGAAGTCCCCTTTCCCTTTGGGGTCACCTGGTCAGTCCTTTCTCTCCCTTATCTCCAAGCTCATGTCCCACCTGGCATATTTCCTGGCATACTGATGATGGGCTCCTGTTGTGTCCTCTTGCCAGGATGTCACCCTCCCCGCACATTGCTTCCAGACAAACTGCTTGCAAACACAGACCTCTGCGAGTACTCTGTCAGTCAAGAACAATCGCTGGCTCCCTGTTGAGCACCAGAAGAAAGGCAAAACCTCTTTGCCTTGCAGGTAAGTTTCTTAAGCTTCCTGCAGGCCACCTTCCTTCCTGCTCCTTTCAGAAGCCAAATCAAAAGGTCCCTGTGTGCATGTGTTCTCTATCTCGGTGCCATGGCTCCTGCTGTCCCCTTCTGGAGACCCCCCTCCCCACGATGTGCTCACCCGCTGTCTCTTCCCTGTGGCCCAGAACTGAATGGGACCCTGTCCAGACTGGGAGCTCCCCATGATCTGTACACTCACAACACCCCATGCCCACAGCAATTCTGTGCCCCTTTTATTGTACTAGAATTATTTGCTTGTGCAAAGCACTCCATGAATTTTTTTTTAACTTTTTTAAAATTTATTTTTGGTGGTGCTGGGGTTTGAACCCAGGACCTCACGCTTACTAGGAAGGTACTCTACCACTTGAGCCACTCAACTGGACTAATTTTATTTCTAATGAACAAATAATCATTGCATGTGTTTGTGGATGCTTTCGTATGTGGCGTGAGCTATGAACTTCAGGCTAATCTGATTCTCATCGTCCCTCACCCTTAGTACCAGGCCTGGCAAGAAAAGGAAAGAACAAGCAGCCCAGAGCCCTTGCGTGGTTCACCCGGCTGATGGAACTATGTTTTCAAATGCTCAAGATAAAATAGAAAGATTTCAGACGAGACAAACACTGCTGGCCACTTACACACGGCCAGTCTGCCTCCTACCTCCTTCTTCCTGCTGGGAAAGGCCAACTTCCCCTACATAACCCACTCTCCCAGCCTCCTTTGCAAGGAGAGAAACAACTCAGTGCCAGCCTGGCTTCTCCAAAAGGGTGTATCTTAGAAGAAACTTCTTCCTTAATGAACGGATATGTTCTGGAGGAAAGAGCCCCGCTTCTGTTTCTTTTTCTTTCAATAGAATTTCAAGAAAAGCCAGGCGTGGTATTTCATGCCTGTAGTCCTAGTTACTTGGGAGGCTGAGATCAGGAGGATCATGGTTTGAGACCAACCCAGGCATAAAGGTAGAGAGACCCCATCTTAACCAATGACTGAGTATAGTGCGTATCTGTCATTCCAGCTATGCAGGAGGCATTAGTGAGAAAGAGCACAGTCCAGGCCAGCCCAGACATAAATGCAAGACCATCTTCAAAAATTAACTAAAGCAAAAAGGGCTGGGGGTTGTGGCCCAAGTGGTAGAACACCTACCTAGCAAGCGTGAGGCCCTGAGTTCAAACCTCAGCACAGCCCCCCAAAACAAAAAGGAATGTCTCTTTCCAGAGCCTTCCAGAGACAACTTTGATTGATCCACAGTGGGTCATATGCCTGGCCCTGGACCAATCTCTGTGCCCGAGCAGTGGGGCCTCTGATGGTCAGTACCTTCCTTGATCATGGGCCAGCCAGTCACCCTCTGTGGGGGACAGGAGGATCAGAAAAGACAGCCACATCCAAATGACATGAAAACAGCTTCTTAGGAAAACAGAGGCCCAAGAGGAAAAGTAAAGCCTTCTGTGCAGGGCGGGCCTGCCTCATTGACCTAGGGGCCGGAGGGCATTCCGGGAAACAGAACAACAGAGGCAACCAAGAAACGGCAGGGGAGCCACCCAGGAGTCCAAGAGACCAAGTCTGTGTCCCGGGCTCGGGAACAAGGCACAAGGACGCCCCAGGGAAGCCACAGCTAGGAACCAGGGTGGAAGCCAAGTCACAATCCTCATGTTGAAGTAATTACACTGCCACTAAAAATCTTTTTTTAATGACCAGCAAGATAAGACAAATGTTTTTAAAAGGCCTAAATAAAATGGTATTCCCTGCGGAAATGTCTGAAGGGCTTTACTGTGGCCTTGTATTTAACTGCGGAGGATGATGGAGACTTACTGAACGGTTTGGTGGGAAAAGCTTAGTAAATGGGAAGGGTGTACTTCCCCGGGTTCAAATAAGGAAAATTTTAAAATAGAAGAGTGACACGAGCCGCTAATCGAAGGAGGTTAGATTACGGGAGCTCCTGGCACAGGGTCCAGCTCTTAACCACACACATGAGTTCTGAAATCTGGTTCTGAGACATCACGAGACTCTGCCCTACAAGGGAACAGTCTGGGCTTCAGTTGACAGGAGCACTGTGTGGGGCTCGTCTTTAGCTGATAAGGGGAAGAGGACGGAACGGACAGGGAGGCATCCTTGGGCCCAGCCAGTGCCAAGGCTGGACAGAAGAACAAGCTCCAGCCCCAGCCACAGGCCAAGTAGGAAGATGTGTGTCTGCTCAGTGCCTGGGTGGTCTGGGTCTGCAGGGGAGGTGGCTGTGACATCTTGGGCCACAGCATGCAAACACTGAGCTCTCTGCTTATTCCCACCTCTACCACCTTTCTTCTGATGACTCTGCTTTTGGGGCTTAGCACAAGCACTGTCTCCTCCAGGAAGCCCTCAGTGATTCTTCCAAATGATCCTTCAGCTTCTAAACTTCAAGCAACTATGAGATTGACATGGTCTCTGGCAGACTGTACTTATGTCACACTCCATAGTTTGTCTTGTAAACAACGGGCAACTCGCTCACTCATTGGTGGGTTCTTTTGTTCATTCATCTCCAAGTATTTACTCAGTCCCTCCCATGGCCCAAGCATACACAAGTAGGCAAAGCAGATGTGCTTCGTGTGCTAAAAGAGTTACAATTCATCAGGGGACAGCAATGACCATCAGATGATTATCTACTCAGTTAGGCCTCCTCCATCCTCAGGGATCCTCAGCCTCCCACCCAACAGACCCAACATGGCAGGCAGCACCACACACTCACTAACAGCACAGCCTTGGAGGCAGACGGCCTCAGTTCTCGTCCAGACTACACTGGATCACCTAGATGAGGTTTGCTGTGTTCCAAAGCTTCTCCACCATTAAATGGGCGCCGCAATTGGATGACGAGAATGAAACAGGCTGATGACTATTAAAAGACTTAGAACAGCTCCCGGCACGTGGTGGGTGCCCAGCAAGTCCCCTCTGTTATTGTCATTGTTCTCGTTCATGACACCCAGTAGTGAACCTGGAAGAACCTAGCTGCTGTCTCCTCCACTTTTGGAAACAGCGATTTTTTTTTTTAATTCTGTGTATACTTCTTACAGTTCAGCTGCAAAATTGCTCACCTGTTTTCTTGTCTCTAATCTCCAAAACCTTCTGCCAAATGCCCAAGTATTCACTCCCCACCAAGACACATCTCAGCATCCCAACACACACACACACACACCCACACCCACGGGATGAGTGTGTGAGTGCAGGGTCTCTTTTCTGATGAAATCTATCTGCCATGTCAGCGCCAACTGCTGCCTGTCCTGCATTTGTGCTGGGCAAGTGACTATACAACCTGTCAGATTCACAAAGTGACTATATGACCTTTCAGACTCACAAAGTCCCAGAGGCCATCCGGAAGAAGGCTGAGAAACACTAAACCTACAGGGCCGTCTGTCCATCCTGCCTTACCCAGCTCAACCTACTACTGAAACTCAGGACCTGAAATCCACAAAGGTCTCAAATACAGGAAGCAGAGGCCAGCATCTGCCCCTCCACAGCTCTCCAGGAAGGTGACCTTCTAGAAGTGCTTCTCCTCGAGGGCTCCCAGGAGAATCTGCTTCCTTTGGCCTGGGTGGGCCCAAGATGCCACCCCAGGAGCTTTGCACTCCCGGGAGCAAGGTGGGGGTGTGTGAGAAATGATCTGTCCCCACTTCTGAGCAGTGGGGACACAGGCCTGAGAGCAAGAGCAGCCTTATCAGCAGTGCAGGGCAAATTCCAGAGAGAGCCAAGGCCATGACCTCAGGTCCTCATTCTCAAGCCAGGAATAGGGGCCAAGAGCCAGGCGATTGGTAAATGCATGCAGCAGGTCCAGTGCCACCAGCTGGGGCTGAGCCGCCTGTATGATTGGCTGTCCCCTCACTTTGTAACACCAGCCGAGCTGGCCTGCGGGGTGACCTTGCATCCCCTATGGCCTTCCTCAGAGCAGGAGAAGAGGTTGGTAACTTTACCTACAATGAGCCCGGTGGTCAACTCGGTGGACTTCACAGCCACCTGGCTTCTGTTGCCACCAGTAACTCTGCTGTGGTGTGTGAAAGGACAGATGGACACCAGGCAGAGTGAACAGGGCTGTGTTCTGATAAAACTTTATTTATGCCACTGGGAGGTGGGCCTGATTTGGCCGGGGGCCTGAGTGCGCTAACTCTTGTCTTAGCTGATTGGACACACGGGTGGGGAGGTGTCACCTTCTAGTCATACAAAGTAGGACTTGGAGAGTGGAATGCTGCAGATGCAGCTGTGTCTTTCATTGCGAGGCCAGTGTGGGCTCCTGTGAGTTCACAGAATGGGAAGGCAGAAAGTAGCCATCTTGTTTCCTTGGTTCCAAAGGACAGGAAGTGAGATTGTGGCGCCTGTGTCATGGGGAAGCTGAGTCCCAGTGTGCATGGGGATGTGAAAAGCCACAGGGAGTGTGACCTTGAGTCAACCAGAAATAACATGTGTAGAAAAAGCAGACTTGAGAAGGAAATGGTGAAGACACGATGTGGTTTGCCTACTGGATGTGACAAGTGGAGTTTCAAAGTCAGGCCAACCAACACTTTCCCCTGGAGACATTTCACTGCAGGCTTGGGTGAAAGGACTGGATCTGGGGAGCTAATGGTAAGCAACCTATGGCCACCTATGAGCAGTGGTCCCTGATCTTAAGGCCATCAAGCCAGCAGGGAGGGTCTGGAGGAGGGGCCGCGGCAGTTATTTTGGACAGAATTGTTCAAATAGGGGCTTGGAATAAAATGCCAAAGATTTTAGACAAAATACCACAGTCTAAAACCAAAATGCCTTATTTTGGAATGACCAAACAACAACTAAACAACTCCAGAGATACTTGGGCTTCTTTTTCTTTTTTTGGCATGAACTCAGGGCCCTACCCTAGGGCACTTGCTAGGGAGGTGCCCTACCATTTGAGCAACATATGCAGCTCTGAAAAGCTCTGGTTATTTCTTACAGTCTTACACTTTTACTCCAGGCAGGCCTTAAACAATGATCCCCCTCCCTCCACCTTTTATGTAGCTGGGATTACAGGCACGCACCACCGTGCCCAGTTCATGACTGTTTTTCTTAACCAATCAATGAGATTGAGCAGCTCTTTGGCCCTGGAGCTGCCCAGTTCCCAGTCTGGATATAAGAGTTCACCACTTAGAAGTCATGGGTCTTCTGTCCCACCCACGATGCTGATTTCAGGGAGGGATCCAGCTCTGAAAAGGGTCAGAGCTAGCCCTGCAGTGACTCCTGTCTGGTCAACCTCCACCTCTGAACAGATAATGGATCCCACACAGGAAGCTGATTGCAGTTCCTGGCCTCCGACAACAGAGGACTAACTTGATCCTGTTTTCTTGTCAAACTGACAGAACCTGAAGCCCTTGGAAAAACGAGCTCCAAAACAACCTGCTGTTGCCTGGACCTGCATCATCTCAGATCACATGGCAGTCAACGAGGAACAGGAGAAAAAGTGCAAGAGGAACAATCTGAGGACGGGTGAAGGAAGCCAGTGTTAGTGACGGTCAGTGGTATAGCCTAGAAACAGAGTGTCCAATTCTCCAGGGTTTTGCCTTACTTGGAAGTAGGGGGCAATTGAACCCCCTTTTTGCAAACTGATTGAAGCCGGAAGTCACACAGTGGGCATTTCGTAGACAACAAAGTATGGAGGAGTTTACAGATGAGGTCCAGGGGAGACGTGGCTTGCTCCAGCCATGACGCTGGCCCCTGGTGTCCTGTCCCAGCTCCTGAGCTCCCAGCTTCCTGCTGACTCCTCCTGAGTCACTGTGGGAGCCCCCAGTGAGAAAAGCAGACTTATTAACGAAGCTGTCACTCTCTTTGTTGCTTTTATCATTTTGGGACTAACATTTGGAGAATTTGATTAACGTAGCTAAGCAAAGGAAAAACTGACTCTAAGCCAACACTCGTTTTCCCTGTTTTGTTGTAGTAACTCACACAGGTTCCGCCTGCAATGTGACATGGATCTCCATTCTTACTTTTTAAACAAGCAAAAGCCCCGCTGCCCTGATTACTGGACCCCACACTGAACTTGGACTCTGCTGACTGGTAAATCCGGGGTTAACCAGAGCTTGACTGGCTCGACGACAAACCACGATGGACAAATATGACCTCCATCCTCTCATCACCCTGATTACAGCATTGACCGGCCTGGGGAAACCAGTCTCCACCCTTGTCGTCCTGTGACACCAGCATCCATTCAAGTCACTCCATATTATTATAACTTTGTAATGTAACCTCTCAAAATAAAATCCAGTCTCCTCACCATTGCCTATAAGATCTGGCATGTACAACACCCTACTCCGTCACTCCATCTCCCTCACTGTGCTCCAGCCACGTGGGTCTTTCTTTCTACTGCACCTGGGAGGTAACAGGTAAACCCTGTTCCAACCTCAGAACCTTTGCACTTGCTCTCCCTATGCCTAGAATACTCAATCCTTTTCCAAATTGTTACATGACTGACTCCATCTTGCCACCTAGGATTATTTGGATGGCCCCTCTTCAGAGAGGCCACCACCCCTGACCAGTTTATCTGGAAGTTTCCAGTACATTCCTCACTTTATGTTCTTAGTAACACATGTCAGTATAGGAGCATTTTGTCTTCTTGTTGTCTTATTGTTTCCCCAACTAGAACTTAAGCTTTACAGAGCAGGGGACTTGTCTATGGGAAAAAGAGTCCCCAGGACCTTGAACAGTGCCTGGCACACAGAAGGCAAGAAACAAATACGTGCTAAATGAATGAAGAAATGTTTAACAAAGAATGAACAGGAGAACAATTCTTGACCTCCTCACCCATCCCGAAGGCTCCATGTCCAGGCCTCCGCCCTTGCTCCCTCCACTTCCTAATCCACTCTAGCGACCCCCATCTGAGCCCCCATGCTGTATCAAACTCTTTTTCAACAACCGTTGTTTCCTGATCTGTTGGTCTCACGAAACCTGAATAACAAAACCTACATTGGAACACAACTCCAACCCCCGAACTCAGAGCCTGCACTCAGCAAACATGCCACAAAGATCAGAGCAGGCCAGGAGCCATGCTCCTGTCCACACTCTACCTCCAGAGCCCAGCACACTGCTGGGCACACAGTAGGTGCTTAAGAAATAGCAGATGAACAACTGAACAGCTTCTCGGAGGGCATATTAAGTGCTGCACCCTTTCATGCCCAGGGGTGTAGGATAGTGGGTGCAAACAGCAATTTCAAAGCCTCGGTTTAAATCTTAGATTTCAAATTTCTTGGCTGCGTAGGCCTGGACTAGTTACTTAAGCTCTCTGGGCCTCAGTTTCCCCATATAATAATTTTTTGGGGTGGGGCTGGGGTTTGAACTCAGGGCTTCTCACTTGCAAAGCAGGCACTCTACCACTTGAGCCACACCTCCAGTCCATTTTCCTCTGGTTATTTTGGAGATTGCGGGGGGGGGGGGTCTCTCGAACCATTTGTCCAAGTTGGCCTTCCTTGAACCTCAGTCCTCCCAATTGCAGCCTCCCAAGTAGCTAGGATTACAGGTGTGAGTCACAGGCACCTGGCTAGTTTCCCCCATATTAAAAAGGAGAACATAATAACAACATCACAGAGTAGCTGTGAATAGTCTGAATTCTCTTAGGCAAAGTCTAAAGAATGCCATGTATTTCTTAGACACCATGCAGTGAGTAATTATATTTTCTTGTTTCCTCTACCTACCAGCCCCAAGAAGTAGGGATTTTTGTTCCCAATGTACAGAGGAGGAAGAAGGGGGCCAAGCTCACAGAGCCAGGAACTGGCACAGCCAAGTCTTGACTGTCACCTATCAGAATACGAAGTTCCCCCAAGTAAGGGCAGAGAGCAGGGCCTTGTCTCCCCATGACTCACAGCTCCCCAGGGATCCCTGCCCTCCACTCCTCCTGATCTGACCTTCTGGCACTGTACCTTGGGCTGAACACATCAACCTTTAAGAGCAAGGCCTGGTTTCCAGGCCTTCAAGCCACGTCCCAAATAACACCTGTGAAATCACGGTCATATTATGCTTGGCAGAGAGGTGGTCAGCTTTGCAAAGCAATCTAGTGACATTCAGGCCACAGCTCTCCCCACAGCGCAGTTTAAACATTTTTATTAGTTGCCAACAAGGCAGAATTATTAGAGCCTAGGTATATCATCTAAATGTCAGTATTGTGCTGAAAACTCAGAAGGTCCAGTCACAGCAGCCTTCAGGGTCCTGAGTCCCCATTCCCACAGCCCTGCAGAGGCTGTCCCTTCCCTGTCAGGCTGTAACAACAGCCACCAACAGAGTCCACTGACCCAGCTCTCCAAAACGCCCTCACACCACCTCCCACTGTGGAGGGACACGAGGACTTCTACACCAGAGGCCCCACCATGGGGCTTTGTTATCAAATGCTGGTTTTACAAGGGTCACTGCCTCTACACTTCTGGTTCTTCGTTTCTCTACAACACAATGTAGAACCTTGTCTTTGGGGCATTCCAGCCCTTCTATGTCTGGCTCTGGCTAACTCAGCCTCATTGCCTTTCACTGACTGCAAAGCCATTTTAAACTACAATCGCATTCTAATGAGGAAGACACACACTGAACAAAAGAAGAAAAGGATGAGAATGAACAAGAGCTAAGGAGTCAAACAGGGTGGTGTGACTAAAGGTAGCTATGGGTCACCTGGAGTTACGGTGATCTGGAAAGGAATTTCAGAGGAGGTGGCCTCAGAGCTAAGGCGGACAAGCAGAGTTGTCTGATGAGTGACTGCTACCCCAAAGGCTCACCCATCCAGGTAGCCTGGGTGATAGACTCAGTATTCATGTCTCCCTGTACACCACCTGTGCGGTGTGCCTTTGCAGCCCCTCTCAGAAGAGATGGAGCCAATATGCCTATTCCTGGAGTTCAAGATCAGCCTGGGACCTGCTCTGTCCTTAGGATACTAAGACTATTCTTTCCCCATTGGTATCTTTCTGGAAAACCAGTTGATCATATGGGTACAGGTCTACTTGAGTCTCCCTAAAATGTTCTACTGATCTGTGTGTCTGTCCACCAACAATACACCCCACTGTCTTGTTGCCACTGCTTTATATTAAGTCTTGAGATCTAGAATGTAGGTCATCTAAGTTTATTCTTTCTCAAAATTGTCTTGGTTGATTCTAGACCGTGTGCATTTCCACATAAACTTTAGAATCATTTCATCAATTTCTACAAACAAGTCTGCTGGGGATTTTGATTGGGACTGTGTAGAACCAAAAGACCAATTTGGCAAGAACTGACATTTCAATAAAACTGTATTTTCTAATCCATGAATATAGTATTTCACTCCATTGATTTAGAACTTCTTTCCCTTTTCTTTTTGTAGACAATTTCCATTGTAGAGCTCTTAAACATCTTTGACTACATTTGTTCCTCGGTTGATGATTTTTTTTTTTTAGAAATTTCATTTCTCTATTGTCTGCTATCAATATATACAAATCCAATGGATTTTATTTAGCCTGAATTGGAAGCTGCTTTCTTGTGCCTTACATGTTATTTTCAGTGTTCAGTCAAAGAATTTGAGGGTTTCCCCTTCTCCAGCTGGCTCTAGTTAAAGAATTGTTTTCAAAACAAACATACAAAAAAGAATGACAAATGTTAGCAAGCATGTGGGGAAACTGAGACCCTTGTGCTGTACCAGCAGGAAGCCACAGTGTGCAGTAACTGTGCAACACGGCTGAGTCGTTCTTCAAAAGGTTAAACACAGAATTATCATGTGATGACCAAGTCCACTCTGAGAACTTGCTTCTCAAGAGAACGAAAGCAGAGCCTCCAGAAGGAATTTGTACACCCGTATTCATGGCAGCATTCTTCACAATAACCAATGGATGGAAACAACCACTCACACGTGAACAAATAAACAATATGTGCTACACACACAGTGGACTATTTCTCAGTCTTAAAAAGGAAAGAAATTCTAATACATAGTGCTTCCCAGGGCTATCACAGCAAACTACCACACACTGGGTGACCGAAGCTACAGAAGTTGCTCCTCAGGCCGGAGGCCAGAAGTCTGAGTGTGGGCAGACTTCTTGGGGCCCTAAGGGCAGGACCTGTCCCAGGCCCCATGTCATGGTTTATAGATGGCCACCTTCCCCTGGGTCTTCACATCATATCCCTTCTGTTCAAGTCTATTCCAATGTCCCCTTCTCAGAAGGACACCAGTCACATTGGATTAGGTCCACCCTGATGACCTTAATTACTATTATAAAAAACTTGTTAAAAATTCTAAAAAAATCACTAGCATATATATGTCATAATATTATATTTTCTACTATTATAAAAAATTGCTATTATAAACGTCCCATCACCAAATACAGTCACGTTCTAAAGCACTGAGGCCAAGGATTTCAATACACAAATGAGGAGAGGACACAATCCAACCGACAGCATGCTACAACATGGCTCGTGCTTGAAACACTAAGGTAAATGAGTAAGTCTGTCATGAACACACAAACATTATGTGATCCCACTTATATGAGTTACTAGAAGAGACAAATTCAGAGACAGGAAGTAGAAGTCAGCAGAGCTTGGGGAGAAAGGGATGGGAGTACAAGGTTCTGCTCAGGATGATGAAAAAATTCTGGAAACAGACATTAGTGACAGTCACACTATGTTGTGAATTGCCACTGACCCTCCACTAAAAATGGTTAAAGTGGCAAAATTTATGTTGTGCGTAATTTATGACAATGAGAAAGAATACTTCTTAAGAACATCTATAAAAAGAAATTATTACTTTAAGCTTCATTGTTTTCATATCCACTGGTACCACATCAGAGGTTATTTTTATTTTTCTCATTTCCTGAGACATAAAACATTTCAATTTTCTGTTGTTTCTCCCTTTGACTTATGTACCTCTGTACAGTGACATCAACCATTATTTTAAGATAAGAGACTGGTTATTAAAAGCAAAATGGTAAACAGGAAACAACTTTTGATGAAAGCTTTTAAAGATGAGATTAAAGTCATCTTTTCTGTTTAAATGGTGGGCCATCAATAAAGCAGCATTTGATTTAAATAGTTACTTGAAATTTCCAACATGGTCAGTGGGGTGAA